ATTGTAATTTTTAAAAAAGTGAACGTGTGTCAAGGGTAATACTCCCCAACACGCAAACCAGAGAACAATAAAGGCGAACACAGATAGACATATTACCGGACCTTAAAGTGGCTGGACTTAACGCAGGAACGAGAGATAAGAATAGTCAAACACGCCAAGGTCAGGAATACAGAGATACGGAAAAGTAAAATAGACAGAGCCAAGGTCAGGGAGCCAGAAATGAGAATAACCAATAAACAAGCCAAAGTCAGGAACCAGAGAAAAGACAACTACTCAGAACGCACTCTCGGGCTATAATAAACCACGACAGGGCAAGGAAGTGATGTCAGGAGGAGGTTAATATAGGGCAAGGTGAATACTGATAGGCAGGGACAGAACTGAAGGAGGTATAAATAGATAGTGGCAATAGACCACTGTCTCTTTAAATTTGGAGTCCACGTCATCCCTGCCGGTTACCGGCATCCCTCCCGGGCGCTTTCCCAGATGCACGCGTGCTACGCCCGCCAGCGATCCACACCGCCCGACATGAGAGGACGGACGGCTGGACCGAGACGGCGCGGGACACCAGGTATGACAACGTGCAATTGATGAACCACTCAGCCATTCTATCTTTGCACTTTAAAAAAAATCCCAATTCCTTCCCCAGCTAGGATATAGTTTTACTTTTTTTAACTGAAGGACAGTCACTGATGCTATAGACTGGATGTGCGGGAAAGCTTTGTTCTTCTCAGGGTGGAAGGGGTGAATGGGTAGTCAATTGCCCATTGACCTTTTCCTTTAATTTTTGAATAATTCCCTTATTTTAAATTTGAATTGACTCCTGCTCCACATTTGTCATTACACGCGAGGATCCTCAGCATGATACAAGGCAATAAACCTACCCAACAAAGTAAGAAGTGATAGAACAATATATTACCTGACCATAGAGTTTAACGCTAATGAGGAATTAGGAAAAATCTATACTAGAGAGTTTATTCAGACCATTAAGAGAATCAAAATATTAATAATAAATAAGGGCAAAATATAAGCAAAACTGGTACAGGCACAAGAACACTGGAATAAGTCAGGAATAAGCAGGACCTAGGGCACCAGTGCTAGGCTTCCTTTTTCAATCTTGTTAGCAAGTGGATAGTAGAGGGGATAGAACTGAAGAAGAGGCTTTGGGCTTAAACCATTTATGAAGATTTAAACCCCTAAATGTGTGCCAGGGCCAGGGACCACCTGGCACCTTAACAACTTAATTATGAGGAATCTGTTATGGTGCCCATAGTGATCGTTTAAAAACAAAACAAAAACAAAAAAACAGCATTGTTCCATCCACAATAAGAGAGCCAGGGTGCAGCAGTGAAAAGAATAAAGGCATAAATCTTGGGGAAACAGTGTAAAAAATATGGGTATACCAGAGAGGCAAAATACTCTGACCTTTGTATGGCTGGAGCAGCAAAGAAAGAGGAAGTGATGTCATAGACAGGGCCTTTTATGGGCATCATAATTTTTTTCTGATTGGTTGTTTTGTTTCTATGCTGCTGGAGTTTTCAGTAAATAAAGATATGCAAATATGAAGCCTCCTGTCATGTGGTAAAATTAGAATTCTCCCATTTGGTAACAAGAAAAGTCACATGCTGTCTGCAATAAAATGGGATGTAAAGTGTGTGAAAAAAAAAGTTTGAGATTGTTTTAATTTGAGTTATTTTAACAAGTTACCTCATGTTTGATTAAAATAATGTTACTTATGTAATAGATTTATACAGGGCTGCCATCAGGGGTGACAACCATGACGGTTGTCACGGGCCCGGCGGTCCTGGGGGGCCCCTGCATGCCCTCTGCATGACCGGGCCCCCAGCCCTTCAATATGCATATATATATATATAGCGAGTACCGCTATGTATATATGCCTCTGCGGGCCCAGGACACACTGACCTTGCCCTCCACGGCTGTAAAGCGTTGCAGCGTGTTGTCATGACAACGTTCCGCGGCATGCAATGCATGCTGGTCTCGTGTCAGCAATAGAGCACTGGCTGGCAGGAGGGAGAACATGGGCTCCTCCTTGCTGGCCCAACAAGTGGAGCCACCGGACCACCAGGGAATCCAGTGTCCCCCCTCCCTGACTACAGGTAAGAGGCAGGGAGGTTGGAATACATTTTTTTTTTAAATTATAAAAAATTCAACATCAAAAAAATACCTTCCAAGCAGCATTTGTCACACATCCACCACACACATACATCATCAAACAGACAAACTGCATCCACTACACAACCACACACATCATCCACCACATAGACACACAAACTGCATCCACTACACAAACACACACATCATCCACCACATAAACACACAAACTGCATCCACTACACAACCACCCACATCATTCACAACACACACACACACACAGCATCCACTACACAAACACACCATCAACCACATAAACACATAAACTGCATCCACTACACACATCATCCACTACACACACACTACTTCCACTAGACAAACACATACTCTGCATTTACTATACAAACACTATATCCACTACACAGACACAATGTATACACACACACTACATCCACTACACAAACACACACTCTGCATTCATTATACACACAATACATCCACTATACACACACACTCTGTCCACTACACAAACATACTATCTGAATCCACTATAAACAACGTATCCACTACACACATTCTATAACCACTATACACACACAAACAAATTCAGTACACACACGGGTCATGTGGGTGGACTTGGGGCAGGTCATGTGAACTGACTTGTGGGCGGGCCCCAGGGGGCCCAGACTGTGGGCTGTGTCAGGGGCCCCAAAATTTCTGGTGGCAGCCCTGGATTTATAGGAGCAATGTGTTCTGGTATTTTCCATTGTAAACCAGTAATTATTTAACTTACATTTCAAAGAAAGTCTATCAAGACAAAGCGAGTGATATTGTTGGACAAAGTTCTAAAACAAGAGCAATCACTACAGAAACCAATAGATTGTATCTCTACATTTTTCACTTTGCACACAAAATAGCACCTGTTTGCCTTAATATTTCACCCATTTTTTTCATAATGAAAACACATTTACTGTATTTCAACACATTTTCAATTTTAGAAATGCCTAAGCTTCTAAGGAGTCTACAAAGAATTGAAGAATGGTAACAAACACGCACTATATGGTCAAAAGAATTGGGACACATTTCTGAGTTATTGAATTCATGTGTTTCAATCAGACCCATTGCCACTGGTATATGAAATCAAGCACCTAGCCATGCAGTCTGCATTTACAAATATTTGTAAAAAAAAAAAAAAAAAAAAGGGTTCTTCTTAGGAGCTCTGTGAATTCAAGCATGGTACTGTAATAAGATGCCATCTTAGCAATAAGTCAGTTCATCTCTGCTAGATATTCCATGGTCAACAGTAAGTGGTATAATTGGAAGTGGAACTGGCCAGACAGAGCCCTGACCTCAACCCCATCGAACACCTTTGTGATAAACTGGAATGGAGATTGCGAGCCAGGTCCAGCATCAGTGTCTAACCTCCCATATTCTCTAATGGATGAATGGGTAATAATTCCAACAGGGAGATTACAAAATCTTGAGGAAAGAAGAGTGGAAGCTGTTACAACTGCAAATGAGGGACCAACTACATATTAATGTACATGTATTTAGAATGCAATGTCAAAAAAGTCCCTGTTGATGTAATGGTCGAATGTCCCAATACTGTTGCTTATATAATGTGAGTATATTTATACATTTATTTATTTATTTCTATTTCTCCAGTAAAGCTCCCTGCATCTAATTAAAGTTTTGTTTTTAAGTAATCATGGCCAGGACATATACAAATTGAATGTTATGTCAATATTAATCCACAAGCTGGTAGGTCAAACAATGAGCACGTATTTAGGGACAGTTCTTCATTCTCAAGGGAAATAGAGAATCCAATAACCTACCTGGTAAAACTTTCCAATATATATATCATCTCTATCCCATATATCAATGTCAAATCATGTCCATCAGTTTGTTTTGCTAAGTGATTCCACGCAAAGACCAGTTTGTTGGTTATCAGATCAAAATGTCAAGATAAATATTTTTTTACATTGTTGTACCATGACACACATGTAGTGAAAAGTATTGGCAGCATTTACTATCTTGCTACTTACGTGCTTTCTCTTGCACCACAGAGAGACTAATGCTTTTTATATTGTGTATTGACAAGGCCTTAGCTTTGTAACCTGTTAGACTGCAGAACAGAAAGAGTTTATCCGCAAAGTCATCAACCCTTTCAGTACAAGAAGAGTGAGAATTGCCTAACGCTTGATCAACTAAAGGATGCTGGGAAAGAAACATGACTTGCCTAAACAGTAAAATGTAAACCTCTGAAATAAAGACAAAACGATTCAGTATGAAAAATTGCATTGCACTACAAAAAGAATAAAGCACACTCTGTCTCCCGTAGGTTTGTTGTTTATCACTAAAAGTACATAAAGATGCCTTTCTGAAAAGCCAGCAAGAAAATATGGATCAGCTCTACATAGACAAATTCATCTAAAAGGTTTATTGATTTTGAAATGAGTTACGGAGTGGTCATACAAGCGAGTTCAACATTTGCCTCTTGTTTCAACTATGATATTATTGTTATCTCAGTTAAGCAAACATTTATACCATAAGCAGATATATGTTCCAGGGTTTGCATTTGTGCATTACAGCTTATCAATTATTTGTAGCTGCTTGTCATCTCATTCTGATAATAGAGGCCTGGTCAAGAATAATAATCACTGTTTCACCTTTAGCTCTGATTCAGCCACTATTCCTGGTGCAATATTACCCAAAGCATCTTCTCTCTCCCTGTACACAGGACCAAAAGTGCAGGCACATCATTTATTGATAAGACAAAAAGAATGTAATGAAATTATCAATGTTCTTGAATTAATTATGAACATGATTAAGAAAGCTAAAATCTCAGGAGCCAGGATCTCATTACCCATTCAGTCTTAGGGATTGCTTTCATTCAGCAAGGCAAAAAGGCTTTGAGCAGTCCCACAATTGCTTTTCTCTCATTTATTTGTACGAGTGTGAAGGTTTGCTTGTTTTCTTTTCCTTCTTATTTCGACATGCTTTATCAGTTTAACTGTGTAGTACAGTATTTTTTTTTTTAGTTTGCACGGTTCAGGAATATGCCCATGGGGCCTACTTACACACATGTCTAGAAGCAGCAAAGCTCTTTTGTGTTTGCCCATCTCTGAATCTACTCTCATGGACCTTCCAATGTTCTTCAAGGTAAGCCTGGGAACACAGTACAAACTTCTCTCAGATTTATGTCCTGAGCTGCGCTACAGTGCTGTCTTACTGTCACTCGGTTAACAGGGTTAATGACATCATTATCACCCTGAGCACAGTGAATGTGAAGCCTGCAGCCTGAACAGGACTTCATTTAGTCATTGTAAAAAATTATTAGCAGTTAATATTTGTAACTATTCTTTTTCTTCGATAGATGCTTTAATTCATCTGTGTGGATATTTATTTTGAAATCAAATTTTGGATCTTTACTTCTATTTTTCTCTCCTATTTCGTCTGTTGTTCTGCTTTTTTTTCAATATCAATTCCACAGAGAATATTGTGCATGGGGTGCCATCATTTCTGCTATGTGATATGATTATTTGCATAAAATAGTATCTTTCATTACGATTCAGGGCCTTACTAAATTACTTTTTCAATATCTGGTCAAAGACGAATGCATGTGCCATGTTCTCCTAATAATGAAAAAACTATTTCATTATGATTCTTAGTCTTTTTTTTTTTTTTTTTTAGTTAACTGAGCCAGATTATATAAACCTGTGAAAATGTGCCATAACATGAATTAACTACTGAGTGGATAATTATGTCCTAATCATGTTTGCATCTGTATAAATATCACAAAAGGAAAGCAATTTCACTTTACAATGTCTTACAGTAAAAGTGTATAAGAAGACAGATTAGACACTCATTGCAGTTATTGTATTTCTAATAAACAAGTACTTTCAGTCTAAGACATTCAGTTCTACATGTTACCAAGTGTATAGATTCAAAGGATAAGCAGATCATACAGAGATGTTTGATCACAATCAATGGTATGAACGCACATCGAGAAATAAAATACACAAAATTAATAAAACCGCTTTCTTTCAACCTGAGATGTAAATATTGCCAGGAAAGTTACTTGGCTGACATCAATATATCAATGCAGAAATGTGCAGAAATGGCTTCTAAAAGAAACATTTTAAAATCGAAATTGTCTTTTACTGTAATGGTTTCTAAAGAGTGTCAAATCATTTTAGTGTGTTTACTTTGCTGGAAAATGCATCTAAAAAAAATAAAAAAATAGAGCAGGATATTCGCTGCCTTTCCCCCCCTCCTCCCATTTTGATCTAGGCCTAAACTTGCCATAAATCGTTGCTTGTATATCTCCTTTGAGAAGGCAAAGCTGTTGTATAGTCTAATGAGTCAATTTAATATCACAGGAAAAGTGTACTGTGCATCCAGTGATGCAGGAGTTAAACATAAATTCCTTTCAATAGCATTAAACAAAACTCTATTTGAACAGTATAGAAAGTAGCCAATAACTTGGTTAATGAGCTCTCTTTTAAAGAAGATTTTCATTTAACCGTCCGTTTACCCTTTTCCGGTGCTAGCAGTTTGTGCACAATTAAAGTTAAAACAGAACTAATTCTAAATTCTGGATGGGGTGTAAGATAATTCTTCCCCAAGATATTTTGAAATAACTCGGATCCATTTTTTGAAGTTATCCCTCAGTACTTCTACATTTCTTTGCCTTAAGTAAATATTTGCTAAAATTAAAAATAATAATGTGATTTAATTGTAAGGATTATCTCTGGTAGTGCATGGGTGAAAAATGAGTACCGTATATATATTTCCCCAGCCCCCATCATGCTAAGAATGTATGTTATTGATTGGTTGGTTTGTTGAATATATTACAGTGATGATGGTCTATCCTCTTATAGGTTACAAATTAATATTGCACCTGCCAGTTATGGTTCCTAAGAAAGTAACATAGTAAAAGCTTGCAATTCAAAACACAATGATATTTTACTCCACATGGCTTTATTCTTTTTAAGTTTGGTTGAAAACTAATGTGATGTCTCTAAATGAATATGATCTGTCAAACTGTGCTTGGCATAATTTGCAATGAGCGTAAAATGACAAAAGCAAAAACCCTTGTATGCATTTAACAGAATATTGGGTGAGCAGTTCTTGTTCATTGTTACCGAACCTTACCTTAATTGTCTTCAGAACAATAGTTTAACACTAAACTGAACATTAGACTAACCATATAACGACAGCAGCTGTTTAATAAAACATAGACATTGCCTCCATGGACCGAATAAGGATCAATCATGAACTGTATTTTGAATTCTAACATATGTCTTTGTGATATGCCAACAGCAATGAGTGAGCTGTAAAACACTATTTCTTATCAAATATAATTCAGTGCTGCATCTATTTGAATGCCGTTGTTATATAGGTTGTAACCCATAATTGCAGTTGTTTGTCTTTTAACTTCATACCTTTATATAATGTATTTATAATTTTGTGAACTGTTCATCATATACATAAATTTAAACACGGCGATTACATTTAAATCAGTATTTTAAAAAGTGTTCCCATTCTAAACTACAGAGATGAATACACAGACACACACACATTTAAAAGTTTAATTTAACCCTTTATTTTTTTTATTTCTTTAATATTCCTGCACATGAATAATACACTACAAGAAGTGTTCAGAATGAGTTAAATCAAATGTAATTCTCCAATTCAGATTGATTTAAATAGGTAATGGATCCCTCTAAAGCTGCTGTTACTAGATATTACACAGCTATCTCTACCCAATGGCAGCCTGCCTTGAAGAAGTGCTTACCACATAGGATGTTCCTAAAGGACAGATATTATTTCCTGTACCTTAGGGAGTAAAAGGCCATACTGCTGGGTCAGGAACTTTTACTAACAGCGAGTAAATCCAGGCCTTATCGAGTTACAGCATTCGTGTTTTATTATTCTCATTAGAGATTTAAGGACTAATTCTAGTTGTTAGCGCTTAACAGTTTAATGTTTTCCATAGATAAGAATTAAGATTCTTCTGGGGGATTATTTTATTGTCTAAAGCTTGCAAAATATACTGTGCTAATATACTCTGATGGAATTGATTACCATTTTTACATTGTTTTAGGCTGGAATTGTAAAGCATTTAACCGGAGTTTAAATATTTTAAACTCAATCATAGCATTGTAATGGAAAGGTTTAATTAGAGGACACTATGCACGGGTTCACAGAAATTGCTTTGGGCAAAAGAATTCCTGGGCCGACAAACGTTTCAATTCTATGTATGAATATATAGATTAACGCTTGTTTTTTGATATTCTTAGTTACACCAAAATAAATTTGTTAATTGTGCATCGTGCAGCAGATCTGACGTTGTCTAGGCATTTAAATCCGTGGCTCTATATTTTGCCTTGGACGCTAAACATGACACAGGTGTGCATCATATTATCTATAATTCCCGCCACAACAGCTGGGGATAATGTTCTCCGTATATTGTGCAATATGATGGGGTTCCTGTTTTGTGACCCATATTAAATTCTTTTTTGTCCTTTATTTATATGTAAATTATTATGTTTGACAACATGCAAAAGTGCATTTTAACTGCAATCATATAAATGGTAATAGGACAAATGTTTAACAAACATGCAAAAATACACATACTAAAAGATTTATCAGTCTGCCTGTCTGACTTCCATCCGAACGTCTTACCTTTTCACCATGACTTCTGGTAATTTATTTTAAACTTTTTAACACCAATTATTATATTTCAGTATGATAAAGTCACATATTTAAGATGGAACGATATGATTTCATACTCCTTTTAGAAATAAGCATTTACTGATCTCTGCATTGTGAATGTTAGCTTGTTAACAAAAGTTACATTTTGTGAAGCAATTTCTGTTGTACACATCCAAAGACTGTGATCTTAATTGCAAAGCACAAAAACATTGCGTTTACTCAATTGTATTATAGTTTAAAGCTCCCCAATATACAAAATAAATTTATTATGAAGTGGTCCCAGTGGAAATCTGTGAATGTTTGCATGTATCTGTATCATGCCCAAAATGCTGTTCAAAGGGCTTTCCAAAGCACCCAGGTAACAGCTGGTGCAGGCCATGTGCCAGACCTGACAGCCCATATGCTCTCTTTAGTGCTGTAATTATCTTGACACAAAACTCTGATAACCCTGTCTACTGGGTCCAGTTTCACTAGGTAGAATTGACTCACTAGCTTTGTTAGTAAGTTCCTTTGGCATTGTAAGAACTTCATCAAGAGTAGGAATATTGTACTAGGCTTTGAAAAACCAATATGTCTGCTAATTCCAGGACAGGTGTCTTATTAACCCAAAGAGAGTGTAGATTTTAAGACTTGGAATATGTATATGCATGCATGTATGTGTCTGTTTTTGTTAATAGAACTCCAAAGTAAGTTGATTTTTTTCTAAAAGCAGTTACCACAATAGAATAACCAAATTAACTTTTCTTCGAATGCAAGTCTTCGAATGCAAGTGTTCACATTTGGCGCCTTTTTGGCGGCTTGATATTAAGTAAGAAAGCTACGCGGATTAATCTAAAGCATAAAGGAATGAATAAATGTTTGGATGTCACATATATAAAATAGCAATATGAAATTTTGCTACTAAGTTGTAAATATTGTTTAAATAAAATGCGCATTTAATTTGTAATTTTTAATGTTAATGGATTAATTAATTACAAGATAAAACACATTACAAAAAAATGGGCATTCATATTTAACAAACCAATTCATAGTTCTGAATAGTTTCTATCTCAGGGTAATCTAAATATTATTTAAGAATCAGAATGCAATCCACACTATTATATTTATGTTTATATATCCAAGAAAGTGAGACCGATTACGTTTTTTTCTTTTGTCCAATGAATGACTGAAAAATCAATTGATCTATCACAGACAACATGATATGAAAATTGCAGGGTATCAGTTTGCTTTGATTGCAGCCAGTTCAATGGAATTTTACTTAAATCTGCAAAGGCAGATGAAACAAACAAACTAAAAAAAACTACTTTTGCCATGTGAACTAACTAGTTGGTAGAATTTGCCACACAATGCAGACCACATCAAAGAACTGGGTGTCATTTGAAGAAAACATAAGACCCGAAACAAAATAAAAA